AACTAGGGAGGTTAAATGGAGCTAAACTCTCCAAGTAGCCTACCTTAAAAACAATATACAATCACTAGGAAAAAACAAGTAAAGTGCCTCACAAATACAAAGGCAAAATAACCTATACAAAAGACTATGCATAAACTGTACAATATAAACAAATAGAACTAAGGCCTTCTCTTCATGATAGAGCATTCCAAGTGAAGATTACCTTGGGCCTAACAAGCCCATTAGTCTTCTCAAGATCTAGCTCTTCCTGTATCCTCCTAGCCATAGCTCTGGTTACTGGGCCCTTGGCCCATGATCTATCAGGGAGGGAAGACTTGTAAAATGTTTAACGTAAGCCACATCCTTGGCCGAGAGAGAACTCGGGAGGGAAGACTTGTAAAATAATTAACGTAAGCCACATCCTTGGCCGAGAGACATCTCGGGAGGGAAGACTTGTAGAATTTTTAACGTAAGCCACATCCTTGGCCGAGAGACATCTCGGGAGGGAAGACTTGTAATATGAAATAAAATCGCAACAATGTAACACAAGTGATAGATAGTTGAACTGTATTGTTATTGATTGAGTGGATGCCTCGTTAAAAACCTTGCCGGCCAAAACCTCTTTTCACAATTTTTTAAGAGGAAAAAAGACCAGTTCAAGGAAAAGAGTGCATCATTATACATTTTCAAATGTACATGAGTTAAATTCTAACTGTAATAGGTCTTCAAATGAGTAGAATTCCATGTCTGAGGGATGACCTTGCCGGACAGTTCTTCTAACTTGTAAGCCCCATTGTGGAGGGTATGCCGTATCCGGAACAGTCCGTCCCAATTGGCTGCGAGCTTTCCCTCGGAAGAGTTGCGCCTTGTCGAACCGGTTGCTCTCCATACGAGATCTCCTTCGTGAAATGTCCTCGGCTTTAGGTTGGAATTAAAGCGTCGGGTCATGCGTTGTTTGCATGCTTCGGCCACTACCTGTGTTTTCTCTCGTACTTCGTCAGTCATTATAAGTTATAGTAATTTTTAAAATTTTATTTTTTGCTTGCTTTTTTTTCTTCTTAGGTTGTTGGTATCCATAATGACCCCCCTCTTTTTTTTTTATTCTTTTGGGTTAATCTTTTCATTTACTTTTAAAAAAATTAATAAATAAAGATAACTTATTTAAAAAAAAAATGCAAGATTTGCTTAGGGAATCAATTTTTTAAAAAATAAATCACTTTTATTTTAATAAAAAACTTAATTAAATGAAAAAATAACAAATGTTTGAAAAAAAAATCAGATCGTTTAACTAAATGAAAAAAATAACAATATTTTAGCATAATAAATATTAAGTAAGATTATTCAAAAAAAAAAAGATATTTGTTTATAAAAATTATCTAAAATTTACCAAAAACATACCTTAAATTTTTAAAAACAAATTAATTAGATTTCAAATTTATATTGCATATTTTAAAAATGTAATAGATTTTTTGTGTAAAATAAAATAAAATTTTGGTTGCTATGAACTATTGCAACATAAAAAAATAATTAGGTTACCATAAACTATAGTAACAAAAAGTTTAAAAAAATTCTAAGCTCTCAATTGTAAATTTTTACTCTTCATAAATAAGATGTTACCTAATCATGTTAATCATGTTATTATGAGTTGATATTTTTTTCTTATAATAAAATATTTTATTAGTATTTTAGATAATAAAATATTAGTATTTTGAATTCCTAAATTTAAATAAATAAATTATATATATATTGTAACGACCTGTCAGGTCTCACATTATCTATAGTGTTCAGATACAAGTATAAAATAAAATCTTTCGTGAAATATCCTTGGCTTTAAGTTGGAATTAAAGCGTCGGGTCATGCGTTGTTTGCATGCTTCGGCCACTACCTGTGTTTTCTCTCGTACTTCGTCGAGAACATCGATTTCGGCTCGGAGGGAGCTGTCATTAGACTCCTCATGGAAATTTTGTCGCCTGAAGGACGGTTCTCCCACTTCAACCGGGATCATCGCGTCTGCGCCGTACGTTAGGCGAAAAGGCGTCTCTTTGGTAGTTGATTGTGGCGTGCATCGGTATGCCCAAAGGACTTCCGGTAGCTCTTCGGCCCATGCTCCCTTGGCCAAGCCGAGTCTCTTCTTGAGCTCGGTGAGTATAACCTTATTCGCTATTTCGGCCTGCCCGTTTGACTGAGGGTGCTCGACTGATGTAAACTGATGTCGAATGCCAAGGTTTTCGAGGAAAATCTTGAATTTCTTGTCGGTGAATTGAAGGCCATTGTCTGAAACAATGGCGTACGGGATGCCGAAGCGGGTAACCAGATTTTTCCAGACGAACTTCTGTACGTTGGCAGCAGAGATGCAGGCGAGCGGTTCAG